TCCTGGCGATGTTATCGCTCCACTAAACAGCAGCAAGTGCAAGTGGACCACGGGTCAAACGTGACCGGCAAGGCAATCCGGACCTTAGTGAAATCATGTCTTTTGCCAAATAATAGGATCGTCGATTAAGTGAATATTTATTCGCCATTGAACTGAACACGACCTTTCTTACTTTCGAAGTAAGTAGTCTTCTAGATAAGCTGTGTACTCCTTGAATGGACACTTGGTCCTCCTGGATCTTCAAAGTTGATCTAATAACTGATCGTTGTGGTTATCCACAAGGGTCGGATCAGACTGGCTAAGAGGAAAAAAAAGAATCAGTCAACCGAAAAAATGAAATTCCTCGGCTCACTTTGGCTCCATGAGTGGGGTCGTAGAGGTCGGCTCTGGGGCTTGCTGGATGCGGCAGACCTGCCGGGTCTCGGCCGACTATATAGAACTGGACGCCAGCAACCAGACGAGTACGGGCGTGCCACTGGACTTCGCGTGGGCCTGCGTAGATCATGGGCGAAGGGAAAATTGCAATAAGTGTTGTGGCCGGATCCAAGACACCGTCCTCTGAACCGAGTTTTGCAATAGCGAGAATCGTCAATTGGGGGGCAAAGAGTAGCAGAAAAAAGTAAAATAAGCACTTTATCAGACGAAAGTGTGCCAAAAGTGTAATGCTAAAGCATTTCAATTCTAACACATTTTAAGTAATGACCATCGAGCTTACGCCATCTTAAACCGTTTCCTAAAAAGACCAAACTGCTCGCATCGGAACATCCTGTAAAATAGGCTTACCGTCGTCACAGCCCATTGGTCTAACTGACAACTCTTAAAATGAACGAGCCAATGCACCTATTCCGGAGTCCATTGTCTGCATCATTATTTCCAGAGTATGACCGTGGACGTGATACATTCCCAGACGTTTCGGCGGCATCGTCAGTGAGTCTCGCGATTCGTAGCACCACACAACAACTCGTGAAAGAGACAAGTGAAGCCCATCCTTTGACCAAACGTGTGCTAAACAGTTGTGGTTTGATCAAAGGATGGGCTTTACTTATCTCTTTGACGAGTTGTTGTGTGGTGCTACGAATGACGAGACTCACTGACGATGCCAGCGAAACGTCTGGGAATGTACCACGTCCACGGTC